CACGTTTTGTTTTATTTGTGACCAGTTAGCTAGATGTACCTGAAAAAAAATTTAGAGACGGATTAATTTTAGTCCTAAACATTGGTTGGAGGATTCAAATAACCAATATAAATGAATATAAGAGACTATGGTCTAACATCGATGAAATCACTGTGTTATATGATAAATAACTTTTAATAAGTTTAAAAAGAAAAGCAGACTCAAAGATAATACAAGTGATCAGATAAACTTAGCTACTTTAAGAAGAGAATATCATTTTTTCTGTTCGCGAAAAAATTTCACAGCATAGAATCTCAGTTTGAAAACAAATATTTAAACAACATGCCTGTTTACTGAATCTCACTAGAATTAGGAATGCAATATGAATATTATTTGGTAAAATTCAACTTAGTATGTTTGTTAAAAACAAAGTCAATGGTAAATGAAATAAAAGTAATTTCTGACCTTATTTTGAAAGGTAAACGTATATGTATGAACGTCTATGAAGAAATACTCTTGAGTGAATGTAACATGCTAGACAAGAATCAAGCTTGTTAGTTATGCGTTGATTTTCTCAATGTTTAAAGAGCACTCAAAATCTTCTATTCTGCAACTATCTAGAGTTTATATGACATTTATAATAAATTTGGTTGTTTTACTAAGAAAATCCTCAATCTATTGGTAACATAATGGTTTTGCAGATCATTTATTTGAGATTTTGAGTTAGCAACTCATTAAGTTTTCCTCTTACAGTCTGCCTTGATATAGTAGACTTAAATACATGATACAAAACCTTATGAAAACGTCTAACTGAAAGATAAATAAGAAATATATAAATGAAGCCAAAATTAGAAATTGTTTTGAAAATAAACAATTTTTGCAATGGAGTATTTCGTGTGTTTACTTATTTACTTACGAGAATGAAAATTCATAGTGGTACTTTTACAAATCACAAAAACAAATTTACGGGTTTGTTGACTTAGTATCCATTGTACTGATGCATTTGTTCTCTATTCAGTATACCACCCACATAGATTCCAATGAACTTAATCGGAAATAAATGATGAAAACATCATTCAAATGGATGGATTTTACGCTTAACGTTTATTATATACCCATACAATTAGCCAATTAAAACTAATCTTAGCCCAAAAAGCAACAACGACTGAGTATTATTAACTTATCAAGATTGCCAAGTAATTCAAAGTTTCAGTGTTGAAATATCTTCAATGAAATATAAATCTTACCTTATTTATGTGCTTCTAAATATCAACTTTGATTCATCAATAACAATGGGGACTAGCATACTGGTTACTATGCCTGGTATCCCCTGTTCTGTATTGTGATGGGATGCAGACATTTAGTATATATAACAACCTATTGGCTAGGGGCACAATGAAAAGAAAACTAAGTGACTTCTGACAATATTAGGTGACTGAGAATTTATGATACTTATAGTGCTGCTTAATAATATTTAACACTGTGTACAAATAGTAGGACATACTTTAAAGCAGAACAAAATTATAATTAGTTATGTTCTTATCTGAATTGCTTTCTGTGTTAGATTACGTTGTTTATACTTTTTCCTTAATTTTATTTATTTTATTTATGTAGTGTATGTTTCAGTATAGCATTATATCAAAGTTCGGTGCTTAACCATAACAATAATAACAAGAATATATAAATTCTATTATAATAAATGACTCAAGTGATGACTGATTTCATTCATTTTATTTGTTTGGATCTTTATCAAAATCTAAATTCTTAGAATGAATGAATCAAGTGATAAACAATATTGGATGACATTTAAATCAATTCAAAGATGAAATAAATCAAATATAGATTCAATTCTTATACAATACTTCCATGTTTCCCATAGTGATCTAACTTCAGTTAATTCATGATGTCAACTATTGGGAAATGATTCTAATCCATAGTTGTTATACATGATAGTAATCTTAATATAGTTATAAAATGATTTTGTTATGTATTTATAATTGAAAGGAGACGAACCTAATTGTAATCATAGACAAATTATTATATTATCATAACTAGATGATTAATTCATGAATGATCCAACGTCAAAATTGTTTTGTTTATTACATAATCATAATCCTATAATTCAAATGAATGAAACTTAACGTTTATCATTTGACTAAATGACATTTTTACATTCCGATAGAAAATAATCCCCAATAAAACAAATGGCTCCAAAAACTGATTAATTGTAGAAAATGTTTTGATTATAAAAATAAAAAATGTTTATCTTTAATATTGTAATTAACCTTTTGAAATTGAAAATTACTATGAACATAATGGAGGTTACATGGAAAAAGAATGATGATAATAATAAAGGGAAGGAGTAAAAAGTAATAGTCATGATTAATAAGCATTCTTGACGTTTGAATGGTTTTCACAATGAACTAATGTAAATATAGAAAGTAATAAAAAAAGAAAGAAGAAAAGAAAATGAGAAAAACATCATTCATTTGAAAGGAAATAACGTGAATAGTGATTTATTTTCTTATATAGTCACATAGATATGAGAAATGATGTTCATAGATTAAATTACAATCTCTATTGAATAGTTTATGGATTAGATGTTTAGATAAAATTGTAGTATCTATTGTAGTATTTATTTTATTTATTCATAAGATTAATAGAAAGTTTACAATATGAACTTAAGTACAAATCTACAGTAGTTCACAGGGAATCTAATGTGATCACTAGTTTATGCATGGTTTCAGGAAATTTAAGTATAAAGATATCAGAGATAAGTAAATAATAATACTGTGTAGTTAATAACCCTATTCTACTCTGAAATACTTAGTTCAACCTTATAGGACAATGATTATAAAGCTTGATATTTCTTAATTAATTTAAATGTTATACTTTAAAAATATATGAAAATACTAAGAATTTTGACATTTCCTAAATACTGTGATCTATCCTGTTCCTGCTCAATGAACATTACTTTCAATAACTTAACACAAAACAATTTGTTCAGACATGAGGGGAGGGGTTGAAGTTATAAGTAGGAAAATAAATTTTTTTTTAAACAACACTTTACAATCGGTTGGTATATAAATAATCAAATTTTAACTAGCAAGTCGCAAATAAGAAGAAACTTTCAACTTGAATTTCAGCTGTACCTTCAGTTCAATAAATAATTTTATTCAGTGAAATGTATCTTGTAAATTAGCTTGCTGGAAAATGTGTTAAAACTCTGTCATATTGAAATAGACTAATCAAGCATTTTAGATAATGACAATAATAAAAAATAATTGTTGGGATCTTTTTGATTGCTTTTAATATTGGATATCCTTTTTTAGTAGCATAGTTATATGAATCACTGATATGAGTAAATAATCAAACTGTACTTTAAACACCTTGACTACTACTACTACTACTACAGATCATAGAATATAATATGTAGATGTACTCAGAAATGCAAAATATAATTTTCAACTATATGAAATAAGATTATTTTAAGATATATTTTTAAATATCTAAAATATTCATTATTTTATTCTTTATCATATTATTGGAATGTTGATCTTCATGTCAAAATACATGTAGTTTTGGTTTATTCTTATAGATTATGGTATTATGATAAATGGCGATTATCCATTCATGTATTAGCACAAAGGCATTTTACTGATATTAAACTGAACTTTTAAAGTTTAACATTAAAAAACAAAAACACACATACACCACTATAAATTTATTATTTAATCCAACGAATATAATTTTGTAACATGAATGTCCATCTATACATGCTTTTTTTTGGGTTTTTGTTATCCCCCTAAACATGTTATCATCTGAATTAGATTTATGTTCATTGTTTAACCAATCGTAAAGTAACACGCTTGGTCAAATGTATTTAACGTTGAAAAATATGAACACTATAACTTATTGTGCCCAACACATAACATCACCTAATTGTATTTCATAAGTGTGCAGACAGATAATGTAGAATAATATATGTGTATATGTATTATTCGCAAAATACCATTGAAATAATAAATTGAAATCTATGCGCATATATATTTACTTACCCCTTTTGTTCAACTAATGATCCTGTTACCTATTATAGGTATATATAGAACTACACAAACACATAAATGCATACTTACACCATATCATAAACTACAGTTCAAGATGTCTGGACAACTAAACATTTATTAAAACATTTGGAAACATTATTCATATTCGGTGAAAAATGCGATAAAAATAACATATTACCCTATCATCTATTAAAGCCCATAGATTGTATAACATTTTACAAGAATGAATATCATTATGCTACTAATATATATAGATATATACACACACATAGGTGATAAAATTTACAGTGGCAGTAGAAGTGAATGTTGTAGACAAATCAACACACATAACAACGCATTCTTATGTATACTATGAAATAAATTCTAAAATATAAATTGTGTTTCTTTGGCACAAAAATGAAAGTGATTCTTAAGTAGTATAAGAAATATATTAGAAAGAAAATAACTCATAGTATTTGATTCATTTTATTACTGCTTATCTACCTATACTTCATTTCATCTTTTTCTCTCATTCATATACATTTAAATGTGTACATAAATCCATACAAAGAATCTCAATTGTATATTTCCTAACTAAAGTGATAGGGATGTATACATACGATACATAAAAATTAACATTCCATTAACCTGGAATCGAAGTCTAATTCTTCAGTTATAAGTATATAGAAAAAGTGTCTCACTAAAGAAAACAAATATAGAAAAAAAAAATAAATAGCCAACTGCTGTACAATAACAGTAGACAAAATTAGTCTACACTTATACAAAATGTAATGTATGTACATGTTTGTTTTTTTCTAATGTGTGAATGTTTTGTGCATAAAATTCATTTATTTATCTAGAAAACAAAAGTATCTTCATATTACTATGATAATGTCTATCATCTTGTAACAATTACACTAACTAGTCAGTATGCTTATCAAATACATATACTACTACTATTAATATTACTACTAACAACATTATTAAAGATATAATGTCAGTCATACTTATATATATACACATTTGATCATTTAAATGTTGACATATTGTTGACCTATATGAATTTCATAATAAAGAAACAACTTAAAATACATATTCCATTATAACTATTGTTACTAAGACTTACGCAATCATTATTTTTCTTGTTTATACATACAAGATAAAATTTTACATCTTTATCAAAATAATAAAAAAATAAATAAACAAACAACTACACAATTTTCATTTAGTCTTCATGAAATAAATAACTAAAAAAGAAAGAAAAGAAAGAAAAAAGGAAAGAAAAAAAAGAAAAAAAGAAAAATTAAAATTGATTATGCCATTTATTACAAAGTTGAACTATTTCTTCATTATAACAGATCCACTATTTCTTTTATATAAACAAAAATCCAAATTTTTCGGAATTATATTATCATTATTATTATTTCAATTAATGATTAGTTTAATGAATCCAGTTCAAGGAATAAAATGGTTGTAAGTGATCCAGTTTTGTAGTTATTTATTTATTTAATTTTAATGAATTGAATTATAAATTAAAGGTGTCATTATTGTTTTAAAAGAAGAATCATTTGAAGGAATCTGTTCATAGTTGATAAAATGGTTCTGTATAGAACTAGTCATTGTTTTTTTTTTATCCTGTTTTTCTTCAATCAATTCTCTTTTTCTTATACTATGTCATTAGTTTATTGATTTTATTACAATCTGTATTGTTTTTATGGAATTACTGTCTAACTATAACTATGATTATTATATATATATATATATGTGAGTTCAAATTGGTTGTTTAATTCCTTTATATAAAACAATCTATGATTTATCATGTCTTAGATGCTTGATTTAAAATATCTATCTGATATAAATAAACTGATTATTTAAAGTTCATTTAATCTTAACTGATCAGTTAACATAGCTGAATCATTACTTACACGTGTTACCCTCTTATGGAGGAGCATAAACTACTCATTAGCATTGTCTATCCAACTATGTATTGGGCAATTTTTTCCAGTTATTATACATCCTTTTCATATCTGCTTCTATTTTCCAACGTAATATGTTCTTCGGCCCTCCTCTTTTCCGTTTCCATTTAGGATTCCAAATTAGCGCTTCCCTTGTGATGCAGTTTGATGATTGCCTCAATGTGTGTCTTGTCCAATTCCAACGTCTTTTTTTAATTTCCTCCTCAAATGGAACCTGCTTTGTTCTCTCCCATAGTAGGCTGTTCTTGATAGTATCCGGCCAACGAATATTGAGTATCTTACATAGATAACTGTTTATAAATATATATTTGGTCCCCGAAGTTTCAGCTCCTTACAGTAGAATTGCCTTGACTTTCGTATTAAATATTCTGACTTTGACATTGGTTGACAGTTGCTTGAGTTGCATATGTTCTTCAAATGTAGGAATACTGTCTTTGCTTTGCCAATCCTCGCCTTTAAAATCTCAATCATACTCGTCGAGTTAATAAAACTCTTTACCTTTATTTGTCAACGAGCAAAATTTTTAACCCGGGTAAAATAGTTATCAAATTTTTTTCAAATTATTATCGTTTGTTGATAAGAAACCATTAACCACCTTATTGTAATCACTAGGAGATTTAAGTAGTCATCATAAGTTTATCTATGTCAAATGAATGCAGATAGATTTGATAACTTATAAATTTTAATGAATGATTTAGTCTTCAAATGATTTTATGAATTTACTATTAGTGATAAAATCCTCTTTTAATCAGGTAAACTGTTTTAAATATTGATTTTTCAAGTACATGATAGCTAGACTATCGAATTTCAATTATGCATAATTCACTTTCTTAACAAACTCATGATTACTTTTGACACTAATCGAATTATCTTTATTTTTCATGGAAATACAATTTTACAGGTTCTGTAGCATGTCTGTTTCTCTAATGATTGAACAAGACAAAAAATTGACATAACATTTCAGAAACGATTATATATTGGTTACTTCTATTTTAAGTGCTTTATTGTCCCTGTAAAATAATGAGTGGTATGATTCTATTTTAAATAAATTTCATACATAGAATAAACCTATTTCGGTTGTTTACTAATGTTCATAGGTAATACATTTTGATGGTAGATCACTGATAAAGTTTTCGATCGATATTTTTTGTTTAAAGTGTTTTCATTTGTAATAGCATACTAATGTATAACCATTTTAAAATTCATATATCAAAATTTTGTATCAGAAACCAAAAAGACTAGACCAGTTGCATCATGATGTTTAATTTACTTACCTAGAAACCATCAAACTCATTATAAGTAAGGTAAACAAACTCGAAGAATAGTTTATTTGAGCAAAGACAATTATTTTGATGAATCAGTTAATCAACTGTAACCTGTAAGACTAATTTGTAATCAGTATATTTTTGTTTTTTGGATTGCAATCTATGAGTTTGGTAAACATAAATTAAAATGCCCAAACAAGAGTCGATACGAAGATTTGATCTTAAATGTTATGAAACACCCAATTTATTGTTCGTGGCACTTCTGCTTAACCACTCTAGACACTTTTGACCTTCGCCATAACTGGTCTGTGTATTTTAAGCCAATTTAATTTGGTTTTCATTGAATCTCCAGTTAACTGACATCGCAGAAATGCATTAAAAGCTCTAGCTTTTTTCAATGTGTTAGTCAATTTTGTTCCATTACTCATCACTCAAGAGCTGTTACATAATCACACAATTATTTTTTTTTCATGTAATTCAATATCAAACAAAGAAATACACCTCAAAATGTTATTTAAATTAGGCTTCCAAACTCTAGACATATTAACTAATACTACAGTGTGATAACTTCAACAGATTACGAATGCTAAGACGTGCCATTAAGAAAATTACATCTTTATTTTATCGGTTTATTCATTTTTCTCAATACTGAAAATTCCTAGTTTCTCGTATTTTCCTTTCCACTTTTTAAATACACTTGACAGAGGAATATAGGATAATAGAAGAGTTAATCTGTGTGCTAGATTTTTCATATACACAAAAAACAAAAACATAAACCTGAAGCTAGTCATTCTGAGTTCAGTGATCGTACTGAAAATCAATATTCATTTTAAGCTTTTAGGTGGTTAAAGGTGGTCGACTGAAACTTTTAGATATGAGTTTCATGCTAGCTCCGGTTCGTTAATAAAGTGTACCACTAATCTCAATGGATTTAATGCCATCAGCGGAATTCGATCTCACATGATCTAATTCCTCAGTTTGAAATGTTACCATTGGGGTGTTTGGGCCTAAACTATCCGCCAGTAGGACTGAAAAATTTGCGATGATTGATCACTAAGAATTGACAGGTAACATGTTTGTTTACAAGTGGGAGTTCTAAGATCACCAAACGCAATACGATTCTGTTCTAATTAACTTTCAAAAAACTTATTTATTTATTATTGGTAGATATGATACTAATTATCTTCTTAAGATTTGCATTCGACTTTATAAAAAATTCAGCATTGTACTTGAAATTTTTCCTAATATGTTTGTTATCTAACTGGCTTATGGGAAAAACTGAAGATCGTTATGTTTTGTTCTATGTGTAAAACTACTGAAAAGGTCTAAATTTCATAATTAATGTCAACGTTCGAACTTCATATCGATTTGTCATTTCTTGCCTTATATATTTACATTATCACAAATTCATGTCTAATAAAATCTATTTTAGCGCATAATTTACATTTTATCATCTAATTAACGTCTATGGTGGTGTGGTCGTGGGTGTGTACTGCTGAAGAATCCCATACTAGGACGAAGTAGCTGTCAATTGCTTCATGGTATTCAGTGGTTGATTAATTACCATTACTACATTATGTGAACTATGAAATTAACTAATGTTTGTTTACTGACAGCCGAGTGTATTAATTAAGTTAAATCAAAGGTTTCGAAATATAGTCTGCTTAAGAAATATGCACATCGTATGCACTAACAGTGTCAGCAGAGTTATGATAGTTAAAGAAATTTATAAAACTGAGTCTTACTACTAATTATCTGAATATCAATTTCATTATTACGTATCATTTGTTATCGATTTTCCGTTTCTCGGACTTCGTCTCCATACCATATAAATCCCCGTAAATCAATCATGCAACTGTTTCTTCTAATTTTAGTGCCGCTTATTCATGTATGAAAACTATTTTATCAATACGACAACAGTTTTAAAATAATTATTACTGACCTCGCTACTCTTCTGCTCAAGGTTTAGGCTTCTGTACTTCTGTACAGTTACAGTCTCTGTAGTGTATAGATTTTTGTTTCATGCTCTATTTTCACGACATTTTTTGGTCATGTAAATGTTTAAAAAAACAATTCTGATTGGACAACATGACTAGAATCGATTTGATACTCTATACTTCAGCTATTATATTCGCGTTTCACTCCATTTTAAAAAGTCATAACAGATATTATAAATATATAAATATATTTCTGTATTACAAACAGCTGAAAAAGTTAATTAAAATAAATTATCAGTATAGGGTTGTGGAGATTGTTGAGTTTAGATTGATAACATGAATGGATCAACGTTGGATCACCATTGAAAACCTGGAAGCGCTGGACGGCCGTCTCGTCCTAGTATGGGACTTCTCAGCCCTGCACAACCACGATCCCGCATGTGGGACTCGAACCCAGGACTTTTGGTCTCGCGCCAACGCTTAACTGAGCCGGTATCCAACGGTGTTAATGTCTAGCTTCAACCAATCCATGATACTGCTCGACTGCCTACCATTGTCTTCAGTTAGTAACTATCTCACAACAGACACATACTAGGACAAAACGGCCATCCAGTGTTTCCAGGTTTTCAGTGGTGATCTAACATTGATCCATTTATGAAACCAATCTAAACTGAAGTAACTTAATTTATATTGTTCTTATTATACTAGTTTTTGTCCTTACTTATTCTCAAGATAAATAGACTCCATAATTTATTGAAATTTGCCGAAATATTTAACAATTTAAAAAGTTGAAAAATGCTGTTTATTCACTGATAATTTGATAAGTCTATAAACATAAAAGAATAAAAAATATTAAGTATTGCTTAAATCGAATGAATCTCTCAGCTTGTGCTCAACTAGTTTTAATAAAATTTGATTCTAACCTTAACAGGTATTCATATTAAAATGATGTGATATTCGTGATGTATATTCTTGTCTATTTTACAGTAAATCGTGCATAAATCGAAAGCTAAAACCTACTGATATGGTGTCGATATCAATCTGTCTATTCGAAAAATGGCTCTTAGAACATAGGTATATTTTATTCTGATGGTCTTCCTTTTGGTTTGTCAAAAGCATTTGAATAGTTGGTTCTCGGTAAATATTTCATCATAATGATTAAAATTAATGAATAGCATACGATTTATTTATAAATCTTATATAATATTATAGATAGAGGCATTGATTAGTGACTGGATTCATAGTATTCTTCTAGCATCCTTACATGGGTACTTGAGAATGATAAGAATCTTAGG